TTTTAATGTAGCTAAAACAACCCCCAAGGAACCCTGGGGGTGCAGTGATTAATGCATTTCTCTGCCAACCAAAATGCAGGCAGTTGAACCCTCACCTGCTGAGGAGGACGATGGGGCAGCCAGCTGGGCAGGTCTGCTCTGTCCTGTAGGGGCTCCTGAGTCAGCGCCTCTCTGTGTCCATAGGTGTGGGTTTTCTTTGGGTTTAAAATAACCCTATTTATTAGGAAGCTCTGGTGTCTTAGTGTCAAGGAGTTGTGCCGACAACCCAAAGGTTTGTGATTCAAATACATCAGTTTCTCCACTGGAGAAAAATGGGTAATCTCCTCTTGTTTGATTAACTGCCTCTGAAAACTTGCCAGACAGTCAGCTATGGGTCGGTTCTGACTTGGTGGCACAAAAGAACAACACCACTAGCAAGAAAATAAAGCACAATACTACAGGAAAGCTTAGGAAAAAGAGTAAGTCTTGGTTTATAGAGATCTCTCCAAAGTCCTGAAGAGCAATGACGTCCATTTAAAGACTAAGCTGCACCTGAGTCAAGCCATAGTCTTTCCAACTACTTGCTGTGCATCTGACAGTTGGACACTTAGTATGGACGACAGAAGAAGCATCGATGCCTTTGAGCTGTGATTTTGGAGAAGGGTATTGAATATTCCATTGACTGTCAAAAGAACAAAGAAATGGCATGGGAAAAGGGCAACCAGAGTGCTTCTTAGGGGCAAGGAGGGGTGGAAGGGAAGGTAGGGTTGGTTTTGTTTTTTTTAAAGCATTTTACTTTGTTAGAGGAGTAGAACAATATCAGTAATTTTCCAGTTTCTCTATTAACCAGGAGTGCTCATGTGCCCAATGGCTGCTGTTTACAGCACAGTATGAACACAATTGACATGTAATCTATTCAGTCATAAACTTGGAAGAGACTCTTGGTGGCCTCTCCACGTTGTGCTCCATTTCACAGATAGTGAAGTCATCAAAATGGAGTGATTCTCTACTGTTAAGTCCTGATGTGTGAGTCAGGTCTTCAATTTCCCCTGGCTTGAAAAGGACACACGAGAGGAGATTGCTCATAATTTTCCCATAGAGAAGCTGGTGGATTCAAACCGCATACCTTTGGTTTGTCAGTGCAACTCCTTACCAATAGGCCATCAGACCTCCCTAGGCTGTGATTATTCCTTTATATTAATGTATCTTGACTTTTTACTCAATTCCATATATTTGATGTGTTTTTTAATTGAGATTTTAGTAATTTTAATGAAAGTTTACAGAGACAGGGTATCCAGTCATTCATAGTTGCACTTTTCTCCCTGCCCACCCCCTCCCCAATTCACTTTTCTCCTTGAAAAGAAAGGAAAACTCTTTCATTGTTATACAATCCCTCCCCCCAAGATCACTGCACTGTGTAGACTTCATTCTAGCCTCCTATCATGACAATAATATCATATATCCCTTTTAAACAGTTCTCTTTCTCATCTGTTGCAATGCATCATTCCTCCCCTTCTTCTCTGTCTTCCCTCAACCCCAATGTCAGTCTTGTTTTACAATAGTGGCCCTATGCTATATTTGTCCTTTTGTGAGTGAGATATTTCACTCAGCATAATGTCCTCTAGGGTCATCCACTTAGCATAGTATTTCGTGAGTTCCTTGCTTTTCAGTACTCCATAGTATTCCATTGCGTGACTATACCACAGCTTCTCTATCCATTCATTTGTTGATGGGCACTTTGTTTGTTTCCAACTCTCTGCTATTGCGAACAAAGCTACAATAAACATGGGTGTGCATATATCTGCTTGGGTAGCAGTTATGGTTTCTTTAGGGTAATTCCCAGAGGTGGAATTGCTGACTCAAATGGTATTTTTATTTGCAACCTTTTGAGAAAGTTCCATGCAGCCTTCCATAGTAGTTGCACCATTTTACACTCCCACCAACAGTAAATAAGGGTTCCAGTTTCTCCACAACCTCGCCAACATTTGTTGTTTGCTTAAATTGAGATTTTTATGAAAGATTATAGAGAACTTGGATTACCATTCATTTATTCTTACACATTTTCCTCCCTGCCCACTCCTCCCCGCCCCCAGTTCCCTTTTCCCTTTGAAAAGAAAAAAGAATTCCTTTATTGTTATACAATCCCCTCCCCCCAGTCCACTTTACTATGCAGCTTTTTCCTACTCTGGACTCTTGCCATGCAAACAATATCCAATCATATATCTCCTTAAGCAGTTCTCTCCCTCATCTGTTTCAAAGCAGTGTACTAAGTTGCCTCTGAACATACCCTGGAAAGTCAGCTATAGGTCAGTTCCGATTCTATGGTATACAGTAACAACAACGCCAGTGATATGAAGCTAAGCTGCACACCCAAAGGCATGTGGTTCAAATCACCAGCTGCTCTGTGGGAAAAGGAGGGTCAGTTTCCTCCTGTGTGATTTATATCCTCTGAAAACCCACAGGAGGGTCAGCTCTATGAGTTGGTTCCAACCTGATGGCACACAACAAAAATACATTAAAAACAAGCTTCAGAGGCTGGAGGAAGGGGGTGAAGGAAATGGGAAGGATCTGGCAGGGACCTGAAAAGAGTGAGTTTGATGGGTAAGGTCCAATGGTGATTGATTTTATAAAACAATGTTTGGGGATGATTGTACGAAATACAATATGAACGGAGAATAGTGTGAAACACAAGGTATATGAACTTTGTGAGCAAACTAATGTAAAAACAAATAAACAAAAAGCAAACTGGGGGGGAGGAAAATGTACAAAAGTGAATGAATTCTGTAAACTTCCCTTAAAATCACAATAAAAAAAACCACTCAGAAGAAAAGGGCACTTGGTCTTTAAAAATAATCTCGGCTGCTTTAATAGCATCAGCACCTGTTGTCTCCGCTTCCGCCAAGACAGAGGCTATTTAATTTCTCCTTCAAAGCGGAGTTTCTGGTCGTCTGAGCTTTGTCTTCTCATGACTGCAGCTGTCTGTACACAGGGGCCAAAAGCTGAACCCAGGCACCTTTCTGCTGGAGTCAGTTATCACACAGCCCCCTGAATATGAAGAAGAAAGGTGACACCATCAGCCAGATCGTGGCCAAGCTGTGGGGCATCCTTGCCAAGTCCTCTTCTTTAACCTGATCACAGAAGCGAGGACCTTCCATGGCCACATGTTGCACCAGGAAGGAGTGTGAAACCCACAAGGACGATTTGATGCAAATACCATCTCCGCCCTGTGTTTGTGACCAGATATGACCAAGACCTCCCTTCACAAAAAAAAAAAAAAAAGCCCCAAATAAAACCCCCACTGTTGTCCAGCCAGATCCTACGCAAGACAGCCTTTCAGAGGGTTTCCCAGGCGGCCTGTCTTCACTGGAGCTGCCTGCTGGCCTCATCTTTCTTTCTGAAATTCGAACCGCTGACCTTTAGTTTAGAAGCCAGACAGGTAACCCACTCCGCCCTCAGGGCTCTGTGACAAGGACAACACCTGCGAGGTGACAATTTCATTATTACTTTGAATGAAGAGTTATAAATAATTGATTTTTTCCAAACGATCATTCATGGGCTTTCTGTTTCATAATATTAATTACCACTGAGTAATGTGATTACTTTATTAAGACGTGCAATCAAACAAGGCAATGAATCTGAGTTGCAACATCAAGGTCGATAAAATGGAAAACAATAACAATACCTCTCTAGGAAGTTTTGAGAACCGAACGGAACTTTGAAGGTCGAAGGCCCATTATTGTAGAAATAGGTAACTAGTGAAATGTGTATGAGGATCCAAGGGGGGGAGGGGAGGAGCAGAGGGGGTAAGGATGGGCAGCAAGGTTAAATCATAGGGTCGCACAATTTGATGGGTGGAGGGGGGGGTGGGTAAAGGACATGGGAAAGATCTGGTGTGAAAAACAATGTGTACAAACTGTGTAAGCAAATCAGTACAAAATTAATATTTTATTTAAAAAAATAAAGTATTAAGATTAAAATTTTTTTAAGAAAAGAAAACTAAAGTCAAGGCAGCAAGTTTAGCTGGTTGTGATTATTATTTAGATGGCCCCTGGTGTTTGCTTCAGTGCCTGCTCACCGCTCACCTGGGTAATGGGTAAACGCTTCTTCACCTGGGGCGTCCCCGCGGAAGGAGAATCCCTGTACCCCGCGGACTGGTGGTGGGGTGGGAGCTGGAGGGCTGCTCAGCACGCATGCGCGCAGGGAGCCGGCGCGTATAAGAGCTCAGCGCAGCGGTGGCGCGCGGAGTCGGAGGCTGGTCAGGCGGTCCCTCCACGTCGTGCGGCGGCTCCGCGCTCTGCCCTGAGAACAGACTCGTACGGGAGGTTCCCGGTTCTTGCCCTCCGCGAGCGCCAGCGCGCGCAGCCAAACAGAGACTCTCTGCCCCTGAATAAGGACAGAGGTGGGCGAGCGGCTGCTGGACCCCACGCCGCCTGCAGCCCGGCCAGCGAGTGGCGCCGCGCGGTTCCGGCCCGCGGTTCCTCGCCTCCTGGCTGCGGCGCCTCGCGAGCGGGCTCGGGTTCCTGTCGGGAGCGGACTTTCTGGAGCCCAGTGGCAGGGCGCACGGCGCACAGGGGATCGGCCTGCCGGAACCATGCGGACAAAGTTGGCAGCTGAGGAAGCTGCGCGCGGGCGGCCGCTGCACTTGCTGTCCGGAGCTCAGCGCGTGCCATCCGCCGCCCTTCGCCCCGCCGGCCCCTGAGACGGGAGCGAAGTCAGGACTCCGAAGCAGCGACTCGGCTCCACGTCCCGGGCCGGTGTGCGAGGCTTGGAGAGTCACAAACATCTCCTTGGGGGAGGCCCCTGGAGCGTCTGCTGTGGGTGAAGCCTCAGGAATCCGCTGACGGTACCCCGGGAGCTACAGCGGCGAGGACTCCATTCCCAGCCCTCCGCCGAGGGCTGGACCTGGAACAGTGGTGGGGATGGCTTAGGAGCTGCGATCCAGTGACCCGCGCGGAAAGAGCGCCTAGTGAAGTGGCCGCTCGGCAATCGGACCCCGATCCAAAGACCCGGCTCCCCGGAGAGCACCCCTGGCCCTACGGAGCCGCGCCCCCCGCGCCCGGACTGGGGCCATGTGGGGCGGCCGCCGGCCCTCGGCCTCCGGGAACGCCGCGTCTTTGCTGCCGCTGGTGCTGGGCGCGCTGCTGGCGGCGGGCGCGCGGGCGGGCGGCGAGTACTGCCACGGCTGGCTGGACGCACAGGGCGTCTGGCGCATCGGCTTCCAGTGCCCAGAGCGCTTCGACGGCGGCGACGCCACCATCTGCTGCGGCAGCTGCGCGCTGCGCTACTGCTGCTCCAGCGCCGACGCGCGCCTGGACCAGGGCGGCTGCGACAACGACCGGCAGCAGGGCGCCGGCGAGCCGGGCCGGCCGGACAAAGACCCCGACGGCTCGGCAGGTAGGGACGGGGTGCTGCGGGAAACACCTGCAGGGCCTGCAGTGCTGGTCTAGAAACTGTCCAGTGTGGGCACCCATTCACCGCCCTGGCCTCAGTTTCCCTATCTGTCAGCCAGCAGGTGTCAGAGCTTCCCCGCAAGAAAGTCATCTCAGGAGCCACAGACAGCAGCCACGTTTCATTGGCTTAGGGTCCTTGGCGCCTCTCCATGTCCCCTATCTCTTTTCGTGCAACTTCTAGCTGAGGGACCTTGGAGAATCCGCGGGATGGCGCCCCCTCCGGAGAGAGCCTGCAGGGCACTTGCAAGACATTTTACATTCATTGCTGCTCTTCCTCAGCCCAGGGGACTAACTCCCCTGAGGGTGGGCCAGGGCCCAGGGGTTTCTGGACAGTTTGTCCCACATAAGCCCAAACGTAGCTCTTTGTGTTTTTGTTTCCTCTCCCCCTCTTTTCAGCTACTTTTCCCCCCTTCAAAACTGCAAAGCCAGATTTGGAAAGTAAACAGATCTGGGAAGGAACTTGATAGGTTGCACTTCCTCCACTTTGTTGGGGCTGGATACCACTACCTACGGGGGTGGGGGGGTGGGGGATGGGATGGGAAGGGTATGAGTGTAAAGTGGGATTTAGTTTGGGGGTTGGGGGGATAGAGGCCAAGTGGATCACCTGTGTAAGGGAGGGATGTCTTCTCCAAGGCAGTTTCTGCTAACCTAAAAACCACCCCAAAACCCAAACACACTGCCGTTTAGTCAGGTTTCTGAGGCTGTAAATTACACAGCAGGAGACTGTCCATTTCTCCAGCAGATCTGCTGGTGGATTTGAACTGCCGGAGACACACATCCCTTGGATTAATAGTACAACTCTCTACACCACCAGGGCTCCTTTCTGGTAACATAGAGGACTCTTTTATTTTTAAAATTTCTCCTCATCATTTGAATGAAAGTTTATAGAGCAAGGTGGTTTTCCTTTCAATCATTCACACACATTTTGTTTTATGACAATATCATATTAATTAAATACTTTTTATCCGTACTCTGCCTGCTTCCTACCTGTGTTTCCTGTTTCCACTCACCCTTCTTCCTTATCCCTTCCTGCCTTCTGAGCTTTTTGCCCTGGACAAATGCTGCCCTTAGGATCTTGTCTGTCTGATTGTTCTAAGGAGTGCTTTCTCCCTTGGTGTTACTGATTTCTTTATAGGCTGTTGTTTGCCTGGAAGGTGAGCCACAGGGGTGTGTGAAGTTCCAGGCGCAAAGGGCTATAGTCTTGAGGATTCCACCAGCCCCAGGTTTCAGCTACCTGAGCTGTTGGTAGTGAGTGGCTTCCTGTATATGCAGACTCCTGGGACCTGGGGAGAGGCAAGCCCTTCTAAGACCATTCTCTTTGTAGTCAATCATATTCTTAGCATGCCCCTCCCCTGTTCTATCCTTGAGCCTGAAAAGAGAAGTATGCAGGATAATTCCAGAAAAGATGCCATCTTGCAATGCAAGCACAGTGTGATGGGGAGATGGTGACAGCAGAATAAGGCCCAAGAAACCAAAGCCGAGTCTGCTGTGATGTGTCTGTTGGGCTTGTCAGGAGTCCGAGGACAAATCCATTTCCTGACACTCTGCATATGTGTGCATTTGTGTATGTGTTCCTTATTCCACATTTCAGCTTTCTTTTGCTAGAAATTTTGTCCCTCACCTCTCCCTTCTGTAGTCAAGGACAACTTGGCTAATTAAACTGAGAGCTTATAGCAAGGAACTTTAGTGGCCTGGGAGGTTAAGTGTCAGCAGTTCAAATCCATCAGGTGCTTTGTGGAAAAAATGCCTCTCCTTCCATTTAAAGCTTCAGAAGCTAGCTGGAGGGTCACATTAGTGAGCATCAACTTGACGGAGGTTTGGTTGTGATTTGAGTGCTTACAGCCGTGTATCATTCTTTATCTTGTGCAAGTATTATGCTCTCAATTAAAAATACTGGGAAAAGGACATTTATTTCCCAAAACACCTCATTCTCTTGAGTTTAGATTGATTTCAGCTAGAGTTTACTCTCAAGTATAGGTATACCTCCCCTCCTCCCCCCAGTTTTTCTGTTTCTTGCTTTTTTCTTGTTAATAAGGGGCAATCTCTTAATTTAGAGAATGAAATCTTTATAGCAAGAACAGGAATGCGGTCCATGCCTCTGTGTGCTAGTGAGCTTGATTACAGTATGATTAGAAGTGTTGTGAGAACAGAAGTGCTTTTGGAAAACACAAGTATTTCTGCGTGTCAAAGGAGGACACTCTTAGTACTTAGGAGCCCTGGCGAGACAGTGGCTAAAGTGCTTGACTGAAAACCGGAAGGTCACCTGTTTAAACCCACCAGTCACTCGGGAGGGTAAAGATGAGGCTGTATGGTTCCATAAAGAGTGACAGCCTTGTGAGCCCTCTGTGACACCTGTGCTCTGTCCCGTAGGATCCCTCTGAGTGGGAATTGACTTGAAGGCGGTGAGTAGATGTGTACTTGCTCCTTTCAGCACTGGAATTCGATTGTCAGCCTTTGTACTTACTTTGTACTTAGAAAGTACTTTTTGCTTCTATAATATGCTTTCTCATGAGTACTTGTGGTGATGTATTCTAAAACCACTAGCTTTAGGAAAGTTGGAGCCATTAAGAGAAAAGTAATTATGAAGTTCACTGTTTCTCATGAGCAGCCAAATGGGACTTAAAGTGTCTGGCCTTAGAGGTGCTGGAGGACTCGTAGCTTCACTCACACCAGCTTTGCTGAGACTAGTAAAACCCAGTCTCTCTGTTCTCGCGTGTTTCTTAGAAAACCAGAGTTCCCAGGAGCACAGGGTGGAGTTCCACAGAAGAGGTTCGGAGGCATTTGACAGGTTCTGTCCACCTGTCCCCGTCACCTTGAGTCTAGCTTCTGAGAGCTTTAAAGTACCATCAGCGAACCCCAAAACTCACCACTGTCCAGTTCATTCAGCTGCCCCATTGGGTTTCCAAGGCTAGACATCTTTACAGAAGTAGACAGCCCCAGTTTTCTCTCTCTCACCTACACCACCAGCACTCCTGGTAGTGCTGTCTATATAGCTTCCAGAATATTTTTTTTTAATTGGCACACAGTTTGAATCCACTAGGTGCAGAATAATTTTTTAAAAGAAAAATAGTTCTAAGTGGAGCTCACTGTTGATTTTAATGAAAGGTCCTTATTTTTATGTTGTACAAGTCTTCACATAGAGCTCACTTCCCTGTGCCTTGTTGTTCACCCAGCTTTCCCAGTGGCGGAGTCCAGCGGCTGTCCGGGGCCTCCTCTGCCTCACTGCAGCCCCTCTATGACTCTCAGCCCCTTCATGGCTGCCTATGGCTGCCAGTGGGCGGTCCTTTTTCCTTGATCCTTGAGCAAAGAACTTGCTCCGTGCGTAGTTCTCTGTGCGTCTTTGCACGTTGGTCACAAACATCCTCTGCCCCACAGTAACTTTTCATTAGTCCCAGTCCTCCCACCCAGGGACCTACACTCTAGCTCAGCAAATGATTTTAGACCTTTTGTTTCCACTCTTGTCTGACCTCCTACACTGTTTAGACTGTTGAGATATGATGATGGCTAGAATTGGACCTAATTTTTAAATTTTCTTTGTGTGGAAAAAAAAGCACCTACACCAAACCAACTGTCTTTGAGTCAGTTCCACTTATGAGGACCTTCTTTTGGGTCTCTGAGGCTGTGAATATTTACCAACATCTCTTGTGGGGCAGCGGGTAGATTTGAACCAATGACCCTTTAGTTAGCAGCCCAGGAAGGAATGTGCTATGCCACAGGGATCCTTCATGCCAAAGGAGCTTGCTGAGAAATGGTAAAGGAATGTAAAGAGCTATCTGACAGAAATATCCTTTTAAAGACGTTAAACACATCCTACCTGACATGGTTGTGGTTGATGACAGTCCATGGTGACCTTGTGTAGGACGCAGCACGGAGGCCCTTGTTGTGGCTGTGGTTCGCCCTTGTGAACACAATCTTCTAACTTACCAAAATGGTATTCTTTTTTCTAGTGATTACTCTTTCCTAATGACATATCCAAAGCAAGAATATGGAAACCTCACCATTGTCACGTCTAAGGAGTTTCTGGCTGTATTTCCTCCAGCATGAGAGGGAACTCTGGCGGCCTAGTTCATGGACAGTGTTCTGGTATCCCAAAGGCTGTGTCTCTCTGATGATTCAAATCCACTCTGGTCTTCATGAGAGAGTCCTGGGCAGTTTACAGCCTTGGAATCCCAATTGTTGTTGTTGTTACGTGCCATGAAGTTGGAACTTAGCAGACCTTCCAGTGGGCCTTCAAAGGCTGTAACTGCACAGATTTCCCATGTTTCTTCCTAGGAGCAGCTGGTGGATTTGAACCACTTGTTTCTAGGTTGATAGTGCAACTCCTTACCATTAGACCCCTATAGCTCCCTAGGAAACCCAGTGGTGGGTCAGTTATGAGCTGGTACACACTCAACAGCTGTGATTTTCATTTTTTCTCCCCCCAAAACAGGTGTGCTTGTTCTTCTGACAGCCCCTGGGGGACTCATAGGAGAGTCGGTGTTTGCTAACACCACCATTCTAATGCATCAGTTAATTCTTCTGGCTTTTTATTCTTCCACTGTCTCTTAGGATATTTCGAAGTCTGGTTAGTTCAAGTATGACCAGACTTTTTACAATAAAATAATCTTAAAACATCAAGTCCATATTGCTTATTCTTTTAAGGTGGGATTGGATGTTTGCCTCTAATGATGAGCCTGACTGTGAATACTGGCTTGTTTGCTGTGGGGGAGTGGCTCACCCTGCTGGGAGGCCCTTACTGCCTTTCACACCAACCAGTTAAGTCCATCATGTCAGAGTAGAGCTGTGCTGTAGGACATTCATTTGGCTGATTTTTCAAAAGTAATTTGCCAGGCCTTTCAAAAGTCATTTACCAGGCCTTTCTTTGGAGGCTCCTCTGGGTGAACTTGAACCTCTGACTATTCAGCTAGCAGCTGAGCTCATTAAGGGTTTTGGGAGTTCCTCTTTCCTAAACTCTTGTTAGGTAGCTCTGGTGGTCTTGTGGTAAGAAGTTGCACTGCAATCCCAAAGGTGTAGGGTTCAAATCCACCAGTTGCTCCATGGGAGAAGGATGGGCAATCTCCTCCTATATGATTTATTACCTCTGGAAACTGCTAGAGAGGCGCCTATGAGTCCTTTTAACTTGACAGCACACAGCAACAACAATAAACTCTCATTCCAGACCAGAGCATCCCGCCCCAGTGAGCTCTGGTGACCTAATGGTAAGGAGTTTTGCTGCAAACCCAGGGCTGCTGATGAGTAAACAGCCTGGTCCTTCCCTCTGGGATGAGTTGTTGCTCACCAGGGTCTCAGTGCATCCTTGCTCATAGTAACCTTGTCTCTGCTCTTCCCCCCAGTGCCCATCTACGTGCCCTTCCTCATTGTGGGCTCCGTGTTCGTCGCTTTCATCATCTTGGGCTCCCTGGTGGCAGCCTGTTGCTGCAGGTGCCTGCGGCCCAAGCAGGAGCCACAGCAGAGCCGAGCCCCCGGGGGCAGCCGCCTGATGGAGACCATTCCCATGATCCCCAGCGCCAGCACCTCTCGAGGGTCATCCTCACGCCAGTCCAGCACCGCAGCCAGCTCCAGCTCCAGCGCCAACTCGGGTGCCCGGCCACCCCCCACCAGGTCACAGACCAACTGCTGCCTGCCCGAGGGCACTATGAACAACGTGTACGTCAACATGCCCACCAACTTCTCCGTGCTCAACTGCCAGCAGGCCACGCAGATCGTGCCACACCAGGGCCAGTACCTGCACCCACCCTATGTTGGGTACACAGTGCAGCATGACGGGGTGCCCATGGCACCTATGCCCCCATTCATGGATGGGCTGCAGCCAGGCTACAGGCAGATCCAGTCCCCCTTTCCCCATAGCAGCAGTGAGCAGAAGATGTTCCCTGCTGTCACCGTGTGACCTGAGACACACTCAGCCAGCCTGCAGTGGTGCCTCCTGCTTAGAGGCCAGGCACATCGGGAGATGGAGGGGCGAGATACTTCAGGATGACGTGTTTGTGCCATATCATGTACCAGCGTCTTGGGTCAGAATTTCTGTATGTTCTTCCCAGCACCGGATGGATCTGTGATGGACAAGCTTGCTCCCTGGACAGTCCCTGATGCTTAAGTGATGGGAACCTGAGCCCTTAAGCCCTGTTTCCTGGGGTCCAGATGACAAAAGAATTGTATAAATGCATAGATTAAGGGTTTTTATCCTGTTGTCACTGCAGTTGTTTCTATTTTATTATTTTATTTTTCTCTCCACACGCTCAGAGTCACTGTGACCTTTCCTGTTTCT